ATCAGTGATCCGTGATGCACTGGTCATCGGTGCTCCAGTGGCGTCAGTGTCAGTGTGTTTGATATTTCAGTGCTCAGTGACACTAAGTCTATCGGTGTGGACTGAGTGTCGCTGGCGGTGACAAAAGTGTCAGTTTTTTCGGTTTTGTCACTGACACCGCACATCCCTAAATATACTGTATTTTCGTATACATCGGAAAATAGTGTATCAATTGAACCTTATTAAGAAAACTCGAATAGTTAAATTACGAAAATCAGTTCATTACAAAGAACAATCCTCATCATCTTTGTAAAATTTACGATAAGTTATTCTGAAAAAAATATTGATGAATCCATAAAGCTTTAAAAAAGCTAAAACTAATCATTTTTCAAGGTTTTTCTTTAACATAAACTCTGCATTGATGATGCTGTTTTTAAATGCAAGCACTTCTACTACTTGAGGATGTGTGTGAATATGAGTATCATCTTCATTCATACCCAGTCTCTCAAACCTTTTATCAGAGTATTGTGTCGAGAGACAATCTATTCATTCATTAGTTATGCGCCATTAACACAGCTTATCTTTCGAGAGTGTAGGTGTGAATTCTTTTCATCCACTCATACCCCAACTCTCTCAATGAGTTTTGCATTATTATTCAGTAACATTTTAACCGATGGACCTGAAATTTTTACATGAGATGGCCAGTCATTTGATATAATTTTCGTCTTGAAATAACTTATCAGGAAAAAACGAACAAGTTTGATTCTTTGGCGTGTGAATTATGGATTTATGGTATAAAATTACATAACAGTATTTGAGCAAAAGCTTGTCAAAAATCCTGTAAAATAGTTTTGTTTTTCACCAAAACGATTTTTCGCAAATTTTGCACCTAGTAAATCATGAATCGATCAAAATTAACAATTGCCCCAAACTGGCTCTTATCCATCGCCTTTCTTTTAAGATACTATAACGACAAAAAATCTGTATAGCGAGCCATACGTACCCATTTTTGGAAAAATGTTTTGGCTAGAGATAGTTATACTTGACCTGATAAACCCACATGAGTTTTATTGAAATACGAGAAACACACCAAGGTTTGCACCTTTCTGAGATGATTCTAATAGGTTCGGAAAGAATCAGTTTAGAATAAAGTAGAATTATTGAAATAAAGTGAACAAAATGAGTTGAAAATTGATATAAATGACTTGATATTGAATATCTAGAGTTTATTAAGTACGAACTGAGTAATGTAGTGTGTTTTAAATTGAATTGGTTTTCTAAACTTTATCATGTGGTGCAATCAGAATACAATAAGGGAATGTAAAGTTTGCACTCACCATATATATCCTTTACTCATCATACTGTACAATAAACCAGAAATCATTAAGAAAAACATTTTACATTGAAAAATATGGTTTGCATCTTTGTTAGAAGCATTTTATTATGCTTGAGGGTGTGGGTGTGGACTGTTGGGGTGTGTGGACGTGGATACCAGGGACGGAAAGACACTCATACCGACACTCTCCACTTTTCTGCTTCCTGTACGGCATGTCAATTGTTGTTATTTTGTATGTTTGAGTAGGATCGATGCAAAGAGAGTTTGTTTTTTATTGATAGAATGAGAGTATTGGTTATGTAACGGAAAAAAAAACAAAGAGAGAGAAACCGAGAAACAAATGATGTGGTAGCACCAAAAGGAAGAAAGAAAAAAGAGAAAGTGAGTAATTGGAATTTCGTCGATTACTTTTGTTCGTTTTGAAGCTTCTTTCGCTGTATTAAAAGTATTAATAATATGGTGAAATAAAAGTTTAAATTTTTGCTTTACTTTAGTTCTTGCCAATCAACATTTCTCTAATAAACAAAAATGTATTCTCACTATGAACCCCGACAAGGAGGGATTACACGTGATTATGAACTAGTTAATGAATCCTTCAATACAATATCAAATACAGAAACAACATATCAATCAGCAATAAGTCCACACGTTACTTATGTACAACGATCACGTCCATTGGCTTTCGGTAGTCACGGTCATATGACTCAAGTATATCCAAATTTTCGAGCAGCTCGTGAAGGTGATGCTTTTGGTTCAGATCTTTTTGCTTTAGCTGATTTTTATACAACACGTCAACATGAAAAACATGAACTTGAACAATTAAATGATAAATTTGCACAGTATGTTGAAAAAGTAAAATTTTTAGAAGCACGCAATAAAAATTACAAATGGAATTAGATGTATTATGAAGTCGTTCAGGACAGTGAGTAAACGTAAAAATTAAAAGACAAAAAATAATTTGACTTTGTTCTCTTCTTCAAGAGACTCATCACGTACTAAAGAAATGTATGATACTGAAAGGAATGAAGCAAGTAAATTAATTGATTCTACAAATTCTGATGTTGATGCTGCTAATGTTAGCGTACAACAAGCTGAACAAGAAGTTAAACGACTACGAGTACGATATCATGAAGTAACTAGTTTAAGAGAAACTGATCGTGTACTCTTCATCAACTAATAGCTGAAAATAAAGTCTTAAGGTTTTAATATATAATAATTCTTAAAAAATCTAGTAATAATCATAGTTTTAGTGAAGAATAATGGTTAAAGTCAAATATATCTTGTGTTAATATTTGCATATGCTGGTTAGATATTCGATGCAGTAGTTAATTGTACCATGTTAGATTTTTCTCTTTTTTGGTTATTAATTTTCATCATATTTAAGTGGAATTAATTGAGAATATGTATAATCTTTATAATCACTTTGTACATGTAAAGAATTTTTGTCCATAGGCAGATGTCATTGAAATGCAATTTTTTTTTCTCACTGATTAGAGTTACACACTGAAGAAATACACACAGAAAACAAAAGCTGCTAGCGCAATTCCTTGTGGGATTAAAAATGTGAAACACGATGTAGCTGCTATAGAGGATGTTCTAAAAGATGTTGTTTTTTATGCATACTGATGTACATTTTTTCCTAACGGTTTACCTTACATTATAGACTTTCAACAGAACAATACTCCATATATGCTTCAATTATATGCTAGTTATGCGTCAGCTCTAATATTTCCACGAAGTCTTCTATCATAGTCTATGATGGGTGATTAGTTAATTACATAGTAATTAATTAATTAAAATGTCTGTCACGGCCTGTAAGGGGGAGGGGTGGAAATTTCTACTCCTAAGCACTCGAACACTCCTTTCAGATCGTGTTTCACAAAATATCTGTAAAGTTGAATATGGTTCACTTCAACAGTGGCTGTTATCTTGGGTAATTATTTTATAAGAATAGTCACTTGCCATTCAGGGTGTGAGTGTGGCTCTGGGTTGCAGTTGCTGTGCACCTCTTGACTTACACTCACACCCTCACACACTTTCCCTAATAGAAATTATTGAAACTCAGAATTGAACCTGAATCCAATTGAAGTCAAACTTTTGCAATCAAATTCTACTCGGATCCGATAGGGCTCATATCCAGTCATAAAAGAATAATAATGATTTGTTAGTCTTGTTGTTTCACCTTTTTATAACCAATAGTAATACTCAATTCATCGTATTTTCAAAGTTTGCTCGTTGTGATACTTTTGGAATGAGCAACATTGTCGCAATGGTCATAGGTGGAACCGGCCGGTATACCGGTCTACCGGTCTGTTACCAGTCTGAAACCGGTCTGAAACCGGTCTATTACCGGTATGATACCGATCTCACTTTTCCATTTTCTCGTTTTCATCATAAACACTAATGCAGAGCTGTTTTTGATAGAAAAATAAAGTGCTTTTCAGGCAGTATTTGATTTTGACAACTGATCCATTGTCGGTAGATCGATATTTTACTAGTAGACCGGTATCTTACTGGTAAACCGGTCTTTTACAGGTAGACCGGCCGGTCCGACCGGTTCAGACCGGTACCGGTACCGATCGTCGAAAAACTAGACCGGTTCCATCTATGACATCAGCTGCTAGTACTCAAAATACGATTGCTCTGCCAAGTATTAAAAATTTATCCAATGGAATTAGATAAGTAACTCAAGAGTGAGCCATTTTTTAAGAAAAACTCTTGAATTGGCTTTTTTTAACCCAGACCAGTCAATTAAAACATCTGATTGATATATTTCAAGTTGAAGATAGTACGCAAAAAAAGAATTTCTTTTTTTTAAGTGTGAATACTGACTTAGTTTTAATTGATAATGAGCGTATTAAAACATCAAAACTCCTTCGATGGTTAAATTAATTATAAATAAACGTCAATTAACTAATGAAGTGTATTATTCAGCGAAACTTAGGTATGAGTGTGGATGTTGACAAAGAGAAGACGAACACCCACTCCGTTATGCAAAGGAGGATGAGCAAGAAACAAAATTAGTGAAAAATATTGATGATGTCAACGCAGGACGAGGTACTGATACTTGTCATAAATAGTTGGTAGAAGATGAAATCCTGTTCATACAAGAACAAAGAAATACGAAATTTGATAATGTTGGTACTGTTGAAGTACTTGTGACAATTTCTGATGGAAAGCTAGGTGCTTTAAAAAACCAATCGATGGAAAAGAATGAAAGTCTAAACAGATCAAGGAAAAAGCAAAAAATGAATGATTGAAATAAATATATTTTAAATAGTATCACACGTTTTGTTGAAATATTCAAAAAATATTTTTGTCTAAATGTTATAAAATCACTTAATATAACGAACGAACACGTTATAATCTCGTATATATTGTCTTATGGAGATGAGTCATTAAATACCAGAACATCTGAAAACATCAGGAAAAAAATCAGGAAAGTAGTATTGCTGCGTGACCTGTCTATATTAGTTAATCCTTTGACGGTCGGTGGTATATATATGTACCATTTTTTTTCGATTCCAGGACTATAATCAACTAAAATCAATGACTCTAGTAGAAAGAACGATGATATTGCAGTGGTCTTGTTGCTTATTCTGTAAGGTAACAGTTTTCTTTTGATGATTATACTTTTCTTGCTAGTTTTGTTTTTTTTTTCTTTTGATTTATAAAGACCTTTCCTCTGGTATTCTTCAAACTTTGTTTACTCTTCAACGTAAAGTTAAGAGTAAAATAAATTCAATGTACCTAATCAAAATTTCAATCCATTTTCTCGCTTTATCAAAAACTTTCTGCTAAATTATTCTAGTTTAAATGACTGCAAGTGGGTGTATCAGACGTGCAGTACTCCAGTATTGTTGACCTGACCCTCGTGAATGATAATCGAAACTACTGTCTATCTAACTTTATCATCGGTATCAACAGAATTTGACTATCAAAAATTCGGTTGTCAAAGAGTTAATAACCAAGAAAAGCTAAACCGAATGATCTGAATGTCAGCTTCGTTTTTAAGTGCATCGAGATAGGTATCATATTTAAGATTGTACATAGCACTATCCAAAGCTTAATTTGAAAGTAATGTTTTAGCAGTTGATATGGATTATGGTATTCATTATAATGAATACGTAGTTCTCATATGAAGATTTTATGAAAATAATTTTTTAATTGTTTTAATGGCAGATAAAAATTATTTAACACTTTTTAAATAAAACTTTCATTGCAATAAAGTCAACATCAATTTTCAATTTAAAGTTACAAACAGTTCATATTCAATTTTCATTTAAGTCAATGTGATATTCTGTCCGGAATATAAGAAATTTCTAATCTAATGGATCAAACATCTAGGCAAGTGAAGATTTCTTGTGTAGGATCTGAAAATACTATAGAGTTTGGATGGTCATCAATACTTCGTACAATTTTTCTTAATATCACGTATTTAAAGAAAAAAAATGTAAGAAGTCATTTCCATAACTCTAAAAAATTTCATGAGAAATTCAATGTTCTCTCTTGGCTCTGTTCATTTAGTTTGTATCCATAGAAACCTATTTGTTCTTGTTTATTCAAGCTGGCAGATATAGAATGCTCATTCTGCCGTGCCTAGATAGAAAAACCTTGATTCTCTCTATCAAATGAATATGTTAAAAATTGACATGTTATGGAAAAATTCCCAATGACATAATTTCTAAATGATCACTGAGAACTGACTAGTGCTTGATTGTTTTATTTTAACGTGAATTGATAAAATTATTTGTTCTCTTTCGAATACTGAAAACCACCGATTGCAAACGACTTCGGCGCCTGAGTTATCTATGGCACAGTAAAATCAACTGAATTTGGTAATTGATAGTAATTTAGTTATTTTCAACAGCGGACACTGATACAATTATATGAAACAAGAATTTAAAGAAAGCCAAGTAAAAAGATAGAAAGCTCAATCAATATCTTTGAACAGTTCAAGCGTTATGTACGTATTTTTCTGGCGGTCTCTCAGAGTATCTTAGATATGAGTACTTTAATACAAATTATTCATACAATTCATCCAGTAGGATATTTTGTTAGACACTAGGTATTGAAAAAATAAATTCTATTAGATAATTGAGATCTAGAGTCTGAATAGAATCAAAGAAATTCAGGAAGATAAGCATTGATCACATACCTCATTGAGGTCATTCATCTTAAGAAGTTTAATCATGTAGAACTCCATTCATGAATGAAACCGAACACAGTGTGTCTAAATGCATGTTTATCGGATGTCTATATTTATTACAAGGAGAAAAATGACCATAATAATAATACAAGCCAAGAGAAAAAAGAAGGAATAAACAGAATAACAATGTTAGAAACAAACAATGAAGTATACTTGATAGTTTAAAGATTACTCAAAATAACATCAAGCAAAATACAATAGGTCATTGAAATCCATGTAAAAAAATGTGATAAGAAATCAGATTGAAATCCACTACTCTTTCAGTAAAAATTAGTTAAGATGGTCTGATTTTAATCGAATTAAAATCGTGCTATTTTAAATTGATTTCTTTCCAATTTTTTTTGCATGATTAGATAAAAAAGAGTTTGAGAAAAAATCTTTACGTTGTCGATTATTTTTTTGAACGTTCATTTTGTACTTTACCACAAAATAGTTTATCGCATGATTCAAATACTCGTCTATCTAATCCTATTGTGACACCTTTTGATGTTGAAATTAAATGAAGTTCATCTGCTGGATCAAATACTCGTTTTCCTTGAAACTTCATTAGTTCTTCATCGAGTACGAGACAAGATAATAACATGTTTTTGGGGATTCTAAGTGATAATAAATCAGTTACATCTAAAAAGTTCAAATATAGAATATATAATATCCAGGTTATATTTTTGAATATGTTACTTTTGTATGTTTGAGCTTGAAATAGACTATATAAATAATCGTTGGGAACAATTCGATATTGTCTCATATCGCCTGTTTTCATTATAATCTCATCAACCTAGAAGTAACAAGAGAAAGTATGATGTATTATCATAGGATAGCTTCAGTTGAAGACCTCGCTAGAAAATCTAATTTTTAAAGAAAATATCAAAGTTAAGGTTTTAACATAGGAAGATGGAGCAAAATTTTCTCTCTTGATATGTTTCTATATATATTGTGTCTTCGCCAAACGGTCAAATCTGAACAGACTTTCACTAGAAGCTCCGAATCCTGATAGCGCATTTTTTCGAGAATTTCTGACACTTTCTCCATTGTGACTAATTTTGCCTTTTTATTAGCTTCAATATTCATTAAACATTGCTATACATAATTCAAGAGAAACAAATGACGCTAGGCTACACCATCTTTTACGTGCATTCAAAACTTTCTATTCAAATATATTATAAATATGTCATGTTAATGGTTTTTTTTCTGGATTTGAATGAAAAAATCCATATCTTACCTTATCGCTTTCTCAAAATATGACTTTCAATCAAAAAAGTCGAAGCTTCTCCGATTCAGTTCAATATATTTAATATGTTTCTCTTGTTTTAAAGGTTCAAATTAAAGCAATCTTTTGGCTGATCATATTTTTTATAAATAATTTTTTGTTGAGAAAGGCTACGTTTAGTCTCATGAAGTCATATTTCTTGCCTATTTTAGGACTATATATATTAAACGGATCATAATAATTAAACGGAAGAGAGTTTCAAATTTTTTCGGATGACAACTGCGCACAAGGATTGATTTTAATTTACAACCACTCCGAGCTCTGTACCATTTGTTGTGACAAAGTTATACAAGTTCTCATGAAGGTAATTATGGGCTACAAATGCAATGAAATCTCGGTCTAGTTGGACCTATATAGCTGAAATATTTACCAGAAGCATTTCTTGCTAATGCGACTTATTCCTGGAAATTCAGCCCAATTTGAATATACTACGTGGCACATCTATTGAGAGGAGAAAGCGGCTTAATACACATACATGAAACTTTGGATGAGCAGCACCATAGTGCTGTATTCTGAACCCGAACAACAAATTTTCAATGGCATCCCCAGATTCTTCCATTAAGATACCTAGTAGAATACAAGAAATAAGAACAAATACGATGTAAAACTTTCCACTCAACTTACCACAGGGAGTATGCTGCTCTTCATCGAGATTACAACTGAACTTATAAAAAGTCCAATGGCCAAGCTCATGAAGTATCGTAAATAAAATCAGGGCAGCATATTTTACTTGTTGATCCATATTATCTGCCAACTTTGAACACGCTAATATCTAAATTAAAAGGACAGATGTAGTGGAGCAATGTCTAAGAGAAAATATCGAAAAAAGTGATGTCTTCAATAAATGGTCACATATAAGTACCTATAATACATTGTGGCTTTTCTTTTGATTCTACTAGTTTAGATTTGTAACTAATAATGATAGTAATGACCAGTACCTGATATAGATTAACTAAAAGAGTCCAATGAAGAACTATCATACAATTGGAATTCTATGGTCATGACTGCAGTTGCTGCCCCTTCACAAGTCTTAACTTAATCACAATTCATCATATGGGCATTTAATTTAGTGCGGACTTATTTACAGTTACTAAACGAAAACAATGACTCCATAATTTTATTCTTTTTCTCTCTGTTGATTTCTGTTAGAGTGTGAGTATTATCCTATGTAATAAAGCATTTTACAAGATGATTAGAATTCTATAAAACACTTGTCAACAATTGTTCACGTCGTTAGTTTTTTCAACATTCGTTACTTTGACCTGTTTACGACTAATCAAAAACAAACCTATTGTTGCTTTTGACTTAAATCTTTCTTTTTGTGAACCAACTTCAGGCATCCACTATTGTTGAGGATTGATCGGAGCTTATCTAACCCAACTATTATCAAGCGTAACATTTATGTCTCTTGCTCAAAAACTTATATTCTTTTGACTAACTCTGATATTTAACTGTTTGAGTAAGGGATTATTTTCAAAACTAAAAATTTTATAAATTTCGTAAATAGTCTTCAGACTGATTATCAGATTGTGAACTCATTATTTGCTGAGTGAGTTTTTGAATCATTGACCGAAGACAATCACACCTTATGAGTCAAAAACAGGAACTCAATAAAGAATAGGTCGAGAAAAGCACATTTTCGTTTGAACAATAATTACAAAAAGGTTATATATATATGTATATATGTATCAGCCGAAAGAAGAGTAAAATAGAACCGAAGAGACAGATCATAACGCCAGTGTAAGACAGCAGAAATATAGACAAAAAAGACATGTACGAGTTGTAAGTAGTCAATTTGTAATCCCCATAGGCGGCGCAAGATAATTTTTTATAGAAAGAAATTTTATTTAATTACTACTTTGCTAGTGCGACGCTGGCGCTCATATTAAATAACAATGTGACACTTGAACGTATATTCTATTATATATTAATAACAACAAAATGAGGATAGTTAGAAGAAGCAATGAATTTTCTATTGTTTTCCTAAATTCTTTTAGTAGAGACAATCACTTTTCCTATTAGTACTGACGCATTGTCCCTGGTAATTTCTACGACTTTATACGTCAAAATAAGACGATCACTCTATTAAAAGTTTTTAAACCGATAATACTCTCAAACCATTATCATTCGACGAGACATCATTTTAATTCTCTAGTTCTTTTCCAATAAATATTATCAAACTGACTGATATTCAAACTCATGAAACCATATGATGATTGCTTCAACTCTTAAGGGACAATGAATCCTCAACAGTAAATGTAACTAATCTCAAACGTACGAATATTCATGCATTACATTTTGTTGAATAAACAGTTGACCATTTTTCTATAAGCTATTCGGGGAATATGAATTCGCATAAACTGCACTCAAAGAATTAATAATTGCTAAATCTTAATTAAATCAATAATACATGACTTTATATGTTTAGTCTTGCTAAAACATCGGCCTTACTTCCTTTTTCATATAAATTATATCTTCATCTTGTTCTAATAATCGTCCATTGTAAAACCCATAAATAGAATAATCATTGACCGCAAACAGCTGACTATCATCTTGAAAAATTACTCTTGGTAAATTTTCATCAGTAAATACTTGTTTGATTTGAGCTCGTATTGATTCAGATACTTGTTTCTAAATGACAAACAAGAAATGAAGAAATCTAGTCGACTTTAATCATATCTACTCTACCGGATAATCATATTGATATTGATCAATAGGAATAAAATGAGGATAAAAATTTTTTTGTAGATGATCATTTTGTAAAATTTTTGTCAAGGCAAATAAAGCCATATTAATAATAGGATATTCTTTTCTCAAATCATCAGGAATACCAAGACGAAATGAATAGTTTTCTGAATCAGGTATAATATGGTTGATTGACATTCGATTTTCAATTTCATATATCAACTAAAATCTAATAGAGAATCGAAACAAACATAGAACTCAGTTCATGTAGAAAATGAACAATCATCAGATCATCCATGGAAAAAAGGATCTATCTTTATCTAACTTATATGGACTGAAGTTCATATGAATAAGATTGTTTTTTATGTGGAACAAATCATTTGCTCTGCTTGATGATAATGAATGCATAAAGCAGAAAACCATAAAAAGAATTAGAAGCCAAGTCGACAGGTCCTGATTGACCAGTAAAGAGTAAAGAAAACAATGAAAGAATGAAGAATCAGAAGACGAGTAAAAATCTCTCATAAAATGAGTGAAACTTTATTAATTGATAAGCATGGATCCCAAATTCGAAGAATATAAAAGGAAAAAAATTCGGTATTCACCAACAGTGTTCAGCATTCTAAAAAAAATTCTGCAATTTCAAGTATTGTTTGTTTTAAATTGTTCAATACTCTCCAAAATGATATAACTTCCGAAACTCCAATATTATTCAACATTTTTGATTTGCACTGCAATGTAATAATCGAACTGATGAAAATTCTGAAAATTTTTGTAATTTCATTTTTCTCTAAATCAGAACATACTTGGTCTTCAACGAAAAAGAAAACTCGGTATTAGCGCGAAATGAAACCAATATTTTACTTCGAAGAATAATGAATTCATTAATCAGAACTGAAAAGATGCCGTTAAAAGGTAGACGGTTTAAAATAAAAGCATTACAATTGCGATCAAAAGTGTTGCCTTTTCTCTTTCTTCGTTCATCGAGGAGTTATTAGGAAGACATGAAAAATAATGAAGTCTCTTGACAAATAAGGTAGCTTGGGAATATTTTATTCGTTTTTTGTCACTCTTACTGAGAGAAAAATGAAGAACTTCATAAAATTGATCAAACTAAACTCATCGATTTAAATTTCGGATACGGGGTATCGATTAACAATACATACAAGACATGTGCCAAATAGTTCTACAATGGCATGAATATTTGATACAGATTGGATAGAATCCGTATACGACTCATTTAATTGTTTAAAAGATGTCGCTAAACTGTATGCTATTGCGTTTTCAATTATCCTGTATATTCTAGATATATCAATAGTAGTAGCTATTGTTGAAATAATCTAAAATAAATAAAACTTATACTGGCCTAGCTATTCTTTTACGATTATAAATAATATTTATCCATTAACTATTCTGAGTGCTTTTAGCCCAAAGGCAATACATGGAGTAAAGGAACTGAAAGGAGTAAAGGAATAAATATTGTTCATAACTGTAGAGGAAAAGTTGGACTAGGATAGCTTTAAATTCTGTGAAGCTATAAACAATTATTGTAAATTAGTGACAGATTTTCAACTGCATTATACTAAAGAAGTTATGACATGCATTTTCCAGTTTCTTCATTGTTCTGAGTCACTTTATAATGTTTTGTGACAGTTTAGCCATTATTCATAATTAAGCTCTTGAACTTGTGAATTTTGCATTCATTTTAAAACAAAAGATTTGAATAAAATGTTATGCTTGTTTTCTTCCAATAGATTAGCTTTCTATCATCAGTAGGTTATCTTCTACATATTTTGTTGTTAAATCCATGGGCATATGTTTTACACTGTAATATTTCGTAAACCTCTCTCAAAATACAGGGCCACCCCATATGAGAAGGCCATCCTGAATAGAAGGTAAGGGAAAATGTGTTGTGTCACGATTTTTCATAATAGAAAGCTATGACCTTTTATTTTAGGGAGATGTTTATTCATTTTTGTAATATTGATTATGAGTGGTCTTTTGCGACTTCACATTCATCAAGTTTCAAATAAAAATAGTATGTTACTTTAAAATTTTTAATTGAAAAACGTAAGTCTATTGATATATTTCATGAAACGTCTGTGCGCTTTGTTGATGACTATTTTCAGGAATTCATCTATCAATAATAACCATTTTCTTCTCCCGACACAGCTATTGGGTTCTGATATTTCTATACTAATAATTCGGTCTTATCATCTTTATGTGACTCATTTCAATGGTTTTATTATGCATTTCATGTATTACTAACCTCTGTGTACAAAGTCTTTGCGTAACATGTCGGACCAATTTTCGTTCACTTTTAAATGAATGAAAGAAGTCAAAAAGAATCGGTTAGAGTCAGAATTTCACACTATTTCTGACCATTTACTTCGTTTTTTTTTATTTTAAGTTAGTGCATCGATAATCCAATCTCTAAGGGATACTAACAATGACGTCTACATAGAACCTTTCATGCGGTTAAATTTTGTATTTTTATCAACACTAATTCAATCCAAAAAGTAAGAAAGTCTTTTTGGCAGCAATTTTGTAAAGTGAAGATTGCTCTATACAATATTGGATTTCTTATTTTTTTTTGCCTGTTTCTACATGTGATCAAAATCTATCATACCTAAATACCGAAACTTGAAAAAGAAGTTTTTCTTCAGAAAAATGTCGTCTTACATAAAGAATAACTTTTCGAAATGTCTTCGTAAGTATTTTTGATTTCGTGTTCGTTGTAGTTAATAATTTGATAGAAAAATAAATCCTCTACAACATCAGAAAGTCGAAGCTGTTGCAAAATATCAACCAGAAAAGTTGCATATGATCGAACAAAATAAATTGGAGTCGGTATAAGCATTCTTATGAGTTGAACCAGCAAAGCAATCATAAGTTTGATCATTTATTTTAAAAGAGCATGCACTTTTCTTTCTAATAGACTGTTTGTGCCTCTCTTCAATGACATCTATATGTTCAAAAAATGTGAAAACATTTTTACTAACACCTTTTAATTTAACGTGTGTACATCAGCCTTGCTTTTGACTATTATCAATAGTTTGTTCGCAATGAAATAAATTAAACTCAGTCAGACAAACATCCAAAGATAACGCATAATAATGCTGCGAAATTTTAACGAAAAAAATCGTAAAAATCGCACCTTTGTGGATTTTCTCGTGAAAGGAGATATTTGAAAAATTCAATAGCTCATTCAAATCTAAATGGAAACTCACTTGTTTGTAGGGTGTTTACTAGAATACTATGTAGTATCGACAGGCAAAAGAATCATTGCAATTGCAAAAAGCATCTGAACTAATTTTCGTGTGAGTAAATCAGTAGGAAAAAATATTCTAAATCTAAAGACTTGAGTTGCTGAAAACATGTATAAATGAATACTTAAATATTTTAGCATTGGATGTGGGCGTGGCTAGTTTATTCACTCAGACCTATTCACACATTCACACCCCTATAGAAACCCACATTCGATTTATCGTTAGATGATGAGAAAAAGAAAGACGAATATGATTTAAATAGATGGATTGATTAAATCATTAATTCTAATAGAGATCAGATTATTATAAATTATAACAGCATTCGTAAAGAGTGTTCCAGATAAAATAAGCACAATGATGCACGACAGTATCTGAGTGCATGGTAGCCTTTTATTATGCATGAATTGTAAATAGTTCGATGTTCATTTTTTCGATTGTTATTAATGAAGTTTTCTTTAGTGATATGAAGCTTTTACTTAAAAAATTTGAAAATATAAGATAAATAGAAAAACATAATTAGTTGTTTATGATGAAAATCTGATAAAATAAAAATGAAAAATACTTTAATAATAAATAAATGTTGAATTGATTCAATTGAATTGATAGTGAAAATGTTTTTTGTGTACTCAAAAAGTGAGTACACTCTAGAATCGGTCAGTATGTCCGGCCGTCCGTCCGTCCGGCCGTTTACACGATAACTTTCGAAAGGAGAGTCCGATCACGATGAAATTTTCTATACAGTTTAGTCTTTACAATATCTCGGTCGAGTTCGAAGATGAGCAGGATCCGTCAAGAAATGGCTGAGTTATCGAAAAAATTGTGATTTTTGATCAGACCATCCCTGAGGGGGAGTACAGGGATTTTTACAAAAAAAATTTTTTTTGTTGCAGAATTATTCACAACATATATAAATCGACTCAGTTTTTAACGCTGATTCTGAATCTGATATTAGTTTTGAACCGAATCATAGTTTAGTGTACTCAAAAAGTGAGTATACTATAGAATAGTCAGTGTGTCCGTCCGTCCGATTGACTGTTTGCATAATAACTTTTGACAGCAAAGTCAGATTGTGATGAAACTTTTCTACATAGCTTAGTCTTGACAATAGCTCGGTCGAGTTCGAAGATGAGAAAGACCGGTCGAGCTGTTCCTGAGTTATTGCAAAAATACCCATTTTTCTCTATAGCTTTCTGTGGAAAAATGGACCCATCGCGACTTTCGTAAAAGTTATTATGCAAA